AGAAGGAGGGGGCACAAGGGGAGCTATCCCTAGCCATATATACGGACCGGCTTTCGACTCACAAAACCCAACGAGTAGGTTGGGCCTGTATGCGACATGGTTGGCTCGTGAGTCTTGTCCCGTGGGCTCATTGAGAGTAAGAATTGGTGTTAAGTTTAGGGAGTGGGAATAGTATTACAAGTTGACATGGAGCCTAAAGACGAGAATCGGAGAAGATTTACCTTCAAGCTTTTTTACATATGTAACAGTTGTGCAACGAAACAAATTTTCTATTTCATCAAATAAAATTACATACTCTGTATCCATTCCATGTGTAAGAAAGTGTAAATATATATTAACAATAATATAATAATTGATGTATATTGTCCAACCTGGTTGTCCGATATGAATGTCTATTTTTGCAATTTGTAGGTGGTTTGACTTTGATATAGTGAGAACTAGCAATTTAATCGAGGATGCATGTAAGATTTTTATGATAGTGAGACCTAATAATCTAAAAATCCTTTTCTTATTTTATTTTTTTTCTTTAAGTTTTATTGTGTATTAATGAGAATCTCGATTAAAATTTGAATTGAGATTTAATGTTCAATTACTTGATGCTAGCTCCCGTTGAGGGAGTTCCTAATAGGGAATTTTCCCCTCAAAACCCATGTCTGTAGCTTTCATGGGAAACTCTTAGGAACTCCCCTAATGAGAGTATTTTATTGTCAAGGGAAGTTTTTTTTTCCTCTTGACTTGTCATTCTATCATTTATGTGTCCACTGGAAATGTCAAAAAATTTTAAAGTGTCCGAAGGTCGTGCAACTTCAATTTTCCTCCTCTGTTTACCTATAAAATACCCCTAATTCTTTCATCATTCTTCACAGTTAACTACGATCTTATAAATATTTACACTCTCATACTCATTTATTTTCTTGTAACCATCCAAATGGATCCCTATAGCTATAGCTCATCCTCATCACAATATTCTCCAACTTCTCCTTATGATGACAATCACTCTTATTCTAGTGTTGACGGTAGCAGTTATTCATCGTGCTATTCATAGTTCCATTCTTCTGATGTCGGCAATAGCAGTACATCCCTTGCTATACTTCTCCAGCTACTAGCGATTACATTGTAGACTAGACAAGCACAGTCCCTTTTACCAATCCAGCATATAGCCCACGCCGTCACCTGGGCTCTTCATTTGCCCCTTTTCCCTTATGGAGTAATAACAATTAACCGCACCGTAACAAGTTCCTTCTGTTCTGGCTAGACATTCTATCTTTTATCCTCCACTTCTCCCTCCTCAACTCTGTAGTACTCAACACGTTCAAGATACGAAAGTTCCAGAGACATAACTAGAAGAAGAAATTGTGCAACTTCAAGCACCAGCCTCTAACCCTCCTAAGAGAAAGAAAAAATCGAATAGAAAATCTTCCAAAGTATGGGAACATTTTGTTAGCCCCTAGAGGGGGGTGATTAGGGTCTTATGCTAATCTAATCCGATTAAATGCCAATTAAAACTTATTAAACAAGTTATCCTAGCAAGTATAAAATACAACAAGAATATAAGCTAGGATAAGCAACATGAATAATGAGATATATCCTAAATGATAGAAATATATGCAAGGATATATAAACAACACAAGGGTAAATAATCTAAATAGGATAGTGGATGAAATGAATGAGCAATGCACAATTAGCGATATAAGATGAATGCAAAAATAAATACGCCAAAGACAAACTCAAACAAGCAATATGATCACGGAGTTCGGACCTTCCGTCCTACGTCTCCGCTCCCCACTCCCGGGGAGAAATCCACTATCAACCGGGTTTTCTACGTTCACCCGAACAACGTTTACACCTCACACTCGGTTTTCTAGCTAACCAAAAACTTTACAATCAACACACTATTGTAATCACACTCTACACCCACTAAGTGTTGGACCTAGCCGTATCTCCCTCAAGTGCTCGGTTACAACCTCTCCCTAGGTTCGTCAACCGACGCCACTCCTCTTGGGACGATCCCCGACTCTCACCACACACTTCTCACTCAGTGTACAAGTGTATTACAAAGTGATTTCACAATAAAGCACAAATACAATAAGTGATTGTTCTCTACTATGGATGAGAACACAATGAAAGCACAACTCAAAGTTACAATCTCTCACCACACAACTATACTATGTATGTAAATACTAAAAGCTCAATGTGGGTGTGTGTAACAATGAGTAAAATCAAATCAAATCTAAACTCAGTATAAAACTAGCTTTAATAGAATTGATAATTAACAAATAATTATAAGTAAAAGCTAGAGTTGAGTTTAGGAAAACATCTCTAGATCAAGATGGAGAGATGGAGATTTGAGACCCAAACAATAAGATAATCTCCTCCACTTGTGAAAGCTAAAACTGCTTTAAACCAAACCCTTAAACAAGCTTAAACTCTTTTTAAAACCCTTGTTTAAAAACTTCTTGGCTTTTTTTGAAAACTGAGATCAAAGAGGGTATTTATATCCTCCAAAACCTCAGCTAAAAATCCCAAGTCAAAAGACAGAAACAGCCCCAGCAACGGTAATAAAACTAGCCGTTGGAAGCTGAAAAAGACATCGTCGGTCGACCGAAAATTTCATCGGTCGACCGATGGAGCTATCGGTCGACCAGACCGGTCGACCGACAGACTCTCTGTCGCACAGTGAGCATATGAACTCAGGTTCGGTTGACCGGTTCGATCGACCGAAAACTGACATATTCAAAAAAAACTGGTTTTTAAAAGTATTTTTTGAGACTTTTAAAAATAACAAATAAAGTCCAAAAATTATGAAACTTTGGGAAATGTATATACACATGTAAATGAACATATTACAAAAAGAATTTTCCAAATTGCATTTCCTATTTGTGAAAAATCATCATTTTGCAAAATAGTTCAAAACACGAAAATGTAAACATGTGAAATTTGATATTTTGGTTAAACCATGTTTTAAAACTTTGCACAATGATTATATAGACTTAATAAAATATGTATATGATTATTGTTAAGTCCAAAAACAATGAATACCATATTTTCACAAAATTGCATATTCTATGCAATATTTTCAAAAACACAATTGTAAATTCATTAAATATAAGCTTGTTAAAGAGGAAATCATATGTAGGCATATAAACATAAAACAAAATAGTATTTTCCAATTCTATTCATTTGTTTCATATATAAATTCGAATGTATATATATATAACTATATATATACAAAGAAACCAATAAATGCGTGTGTGTAGATAATTGAGCTTAGAGTACTTAACACACATAATATAAATCCTAAACTAAATTACCCAAGCTAGATCTTGATCTTCAATAAGCTCTTCTAGGTAATCTCGCGGATGAAGCTTTAACTTGGATCTTGAACTTTGAATAGCAAGGCTTCACCGATATTCCGCCAACCTCCTTTGGATATGATCGTTGAAGCTCTATTCCATCCATCCTCCAACTAAGTTGTTTGTCTACAATACATGGAAAAACACAAACACTAGACAAACAACATTAGTAATAAATTGTTTGTTAAACATCATCAAAACAAGAAGGCCAACAATCTCCCCCTTTTTGATGATGACAAACAATTTACAAAAAGGAATATATGCATGAAGGAAATGAACATATACAAGATAATACACATGCATATAAACAAGGAATTGTATACTCACAATATTTCTCCCCCCTTGACAACATCAAAAAGGCGACAAAAAG